AAAAAAAAATCTAAAAAGGGTAGCAGGAAAGTCAGCAGAAGTTCTTATGACACTATTTCAGAAAATTGGTTTTAATCTTGGCAAATCAAAAAAGGTTAGCTCATCATGTGAATATTTGGGTGCAACAAAATAGTAGTGAAATAACTATTCTTTTGCCATCATTTTGCTCTTGTGCAAGTGCATTTTCAATAATTTGTGTTCATGGGTGCATTTAATAATATAGATGTAATTAAATTTGAATAATGTACTTACGATATCAAATTTACTGTAGCTTCCACAAGAAACAACCAAAGCAGGGAAGCCCAAAGGCAGACCTAAATTCCATCTTGAGACATTTGGGACAATAGATAACAAGGCAATGCCACTGTCATACAAATTTTTAAATGAGTATCCACTTATTGCCCCAGACCCTCACAAGGTGTGCGACTTTGATGGATGTGAATGCAGAAGCCAAGAAGACTCTGATGTTATAAGACTGCCATGTTTCCATATGTTTCACAAGCAATGTCTTCAAAAGCAGATTAATGATAAAATAACAGATGTTCTCACTGTACCAAGCCGCTTCTCAAAAAAGTAAACTTCCTTACATCATCGTTCAATGAATCTCTACTTTCACCAACCTCCACCAAAGCAAAAAGTACATCAGATGATGATGATAGTAGCAACACTAATGACGACGACCACGATGATGATGAAATTCCTGAAGTCAGCAGTCATGACCCTCAATACTATGAATAACCACAATGGAATGCATTTATAGAAAACATGCTTGATACCTTCCAAGTTCCACAGCCCTCTATGTATTCAGCTCAACGCACTTCAAATTGTCAACAACTTCAGAACACTCAGTCCCAAAACAGTTCTACTCAGCAAAATCAACAAAGCTCTCAACAACCTCAGAGAAGCACACCTAACACTTCAACAGTCATTACCATCAATATTCAAAATGGAAAGTTCTGGCTTCTTGGCAGAAATATATCACAGTCCACTCTGAATGGTAGAAATGGATCAAATGCTTGTACTTTTATTGCCMTTCTTCTTTCCAATTTTTTTGTTATAAATAGATTAACTCTTCCATTTCCTCGACAAAGTCTGTCTCCAGTATGGCAGTTAATAATGATTTCGTGCATTACAGGAGGCAATGAAATGCATGATCAAGTTACAGGTGGTTGTCCTGACCATTTTGCTGTTACTGAAGCAGTTGCATCACACCCTTTATTATCAGGAGGAGGAAATGAGGTGGAATATTCGTTTGACGTTGAATTTGTTCATGGAAATCCTGCTGTACCACAATCTTCTCTTGCCTTTTTCTTGCAAAGACTTTTACAAGAATCTAACATAGCTGCCATTGTGATCATCAATGCCATGTCCATTTGCTTTGTTGGAAAAGAAGACAATATTCTCTTCATGGATAGTCATCAACACGGGAACCATGGTGCGCTTTTTGGCTACAGTAATCTGGCATCATTAGAGAGCTGGTAAACATAAAGCAACTTATGAGTTGTAATGTCAACATGTGCAGTATTACCTTTGTAAAATTCAATTAAAAGGTTGGGCCCGCTGTAATTGGCTCTGCTGTTGCGGTGTCCCTGCCACTCTCTCATTATTGTGTTTGCATGTTATTTATTTATGTTATGTACTCATGTATTTACAGATGTTATTCTTGGCGAAGCTAATAAAATAAAAAAAATAAAAATAAAATTTAACTTACAAATGTATTAAGCGAGGCTTGAAAACTGTGCTATTTCTGTATGATCATTCAAGGTTGAAACTTACCTTCTTAAGATATCATGTAAAAGCACAAACGGAAGAGTTTTGAAAGGAAATGAGATTTTGCAGAAAAATATGTGTTTTATGGAGAATATAACTTAAGAGTAAAATGAGAGTGAAAGAGAGTGAAGAGTGAAATTTAAGGTTATAATTCGATGTTTTTCACATTAAATTACACAATTTCTACTTGCCTTGAAGCTTGCTTGCCTGTAGTTCTTTCGCAGATTGAACAATTAAGAT